AACCCCAAAGAGAAGTATGTGCGGTCAGCTATCACCCGGTTGTACATTATGCGTGGCACATACAGGCGGCCCCTTGGGCCTTTGGCTCGTTTGGGGCCGTTACTCCGTGGGAGAATAGTGCCAGTGCAGGTGTAATGCACACATGCTAAGACCTGTACAGCTGCGCCTGATGTATTTATCCACACCACAACAGTTGTTGTGCTGGGCAAAGGGACAGGTTTGTGGACATCTTTGGACTTATGGCCGTGATCTGCATTGTTTGTTAATGTGTGAGATCGAATTCTTATTGATGCAGTGGTAGTAGCCTTTTTTAGATGGAGATGTGAATTGCTATACTAACTGTCTATCCAACAGATGTGGGGTTGTCCAAATAGGCAACCTGGTGCTATAACTGACTGTCTGTGTCTGCTAGGTGTTTGTAGTATGTATTGGTGTTTGTAGTATGTGATAGGTTGGCATGATGTGTACATGTGACGTACGTGCAGACTGAGGCAGATGAAGAGCAGGATCCCGGTATTTCGGGGCATGTAGGCGTTAAAATCACATTTGTCACTTGCCGTGTGTGTATTTGCTTCAGCTAATGAACATTCAACATCCTTTGACTCTAAAGAATTTGCGGCACGTTCTGAATAATGTCATCAATCAGACAGAAGATGCGTTCTGAACATTGTCACGAATCAGACAGGAGATGCATCAACCGTCAACGAGACGGGATGTACTCCTAACTAACCAACATATAATGCGACTTCTCTCTTAACAGACCACTCATTCACTCCTACCTAGTTCTGCACGAAATACGTACGGATTGCACCTTGCAATTTGCATACCTTCCAGGACTTCGTCTATCCCTACATAGGGAAATTATTGAATGTCTACCAAATATAGAAATAAGTGTGTGTCTGATCTGGTCTTGGTTGACACTACTGCAATTAGTGGTTTAAGGTCCTGAGTTCGATTCCTGGAGAGACCCCCGAATTAGTAGGGAGCGCGAGATTATGGCGAGCTGCTGAGATGTGGAGTTGAGGTCACAGTTGATGGACCAGATTCGCACGCTGGATAGGTGGCGATTGTCGAACCCTTCGTCTCTTTGGATGTCCGGGTGAATGGATGAAGAGGGGTCCCTGAAGGCTGGAACTGCCGCCTTGAACTTACAGTTCGTATGGCGAAGTACAGTGTGGTAGTGGTGGATGGTGCTATAAGGTGATAAATGGTCGTAGATCTGACAATGTGATAAAGCGGCCCAGCAGCCTGCCACTCTGTAACATTACATTACATTACAGAAAATAAGTATGGGAGTTACGTGATAGAAGCAACAATCCGAAACCCCAGCTGACACAAGAGGGAGCTTCCTACTTCGTTGTGCAGACGCCGTACAAGTGCAAAATAAACAAGGAAAATATTTCACAATGAATATCATGTAACACAGAGTCGACAGCAGTCCCAGTTCTGGGCCCTCCCCAGCACCGACAGCGACAAGGGTGAAGTATCAGAGGAGGTGAAGGGGAAAGAAGTATAGCACGTGTGTTTCTGTGTATTTTTAGGGGTTTTGAGGGTGAGGTGGTCCGCCTAAGGGGTGTGCAGGGTGGGTTGTAAACCCGGGGTGGCAAACACACCCGTCACCCTCGTCCTCCTCCCCTTTGCCCCCACGCTTCGTCACTGCGTGGCGGCTCCTCATCCCGCTTCAGGTGTTTCGGGAGTGACGTACATCGTGTGAACATTGTGATGTGTACGGTGTACGAATGCACAAAATTATGAAACAATATGAATGGGCTTGCCGGATTCTTCTCCCCGACTCCCAGGAACTGATACCCAGTCGCATACGGTCGTATGCAGTCGTGCACACTCTTACACATACCTCGTGTCCCGTAGTGTTCCTCAACCTAGGCACAGCCCCCCTCCCCCCCTCCCCCCCTCCCCCCCTCCCCCCCTCCCCCCCTCCCCCCTGCCCTCCCCCCCTCCCTCCCCCCTCCCCCCTACACCTCTACCCCCCAACCTGATCTCTCAACCCCACCAGCGCATCCTCCCGAGCTAACACCGCCTCGGGGTCCACACCATCATCCGACGGGCCCACAGCACCGCCACCACCGCCCGCTTCCATGGCGGCACAACGGGCTTGATGGCATTGTACGGCATGTGTGACGAGTTCGCACAGCTGCTCAACAAGCCGTGGCGGTGTGTGTGTGTGTGTGTGTGTGTGTGTGTGTGTGTGTGTGTGTGTGTGTGTGTGTGTGTGTAGTATTGTCCGCATGGAGTTATGTCACGACGAGGGGCAACGAAGGGGAGTACGACAGGACGGGCCAGATCTGGGTATACGTACATACGTACACATACGTGGTGATGATTGCCTGGAACACACGCCATGCAAGACACCGATATAACGATGGTGCCACACCAACTGCCCGTCTATCATCACTCGGAGTTAGGTTAAGTTAGGTTAGGTTAGGGGGTTGCGGGGGTTGCGGGGCGACCTACCGCAAGAAGGCGTGAGCGGAAGGGGGGAAAGTGGAGAGGGGGGAGGCGCGTCGGGTGGATGGAGGTAACGGTGGAGGGTAACCCAATGGGGGCGTTACGGCCCCGTTGGGTTACATGGGGGTAATCCCGGGCGCGAGGAGAGGGAGACCGTCCCTCCGAAACTCACCCCCCCACACACACCATCTCCCCACACCAGCCAACCGGCCCATCCGCCCCCCGACCTGGTCAAGGAGGGGTATCGCCTGAGCAGGACCAACGAGAGCCAGGCCGCCGCTGGCACCGCCAGCACCGCTGCCGTGCACATCGTCGTACTCTCCGCCATCTTCACCGGTGTCATCGTCTTCTAAAAGGGACGCTGCTGCCGCCGCTGCACCGGAACATGCGGCGCCAGAGCTGACTCCAGCAGCCGCCGCCGCCCCAAGAAGCAGCGCCGCCGCCACGCCGTCGGCGCGAGAAGCAGCACCGCCGCCACGCCGTCGGCGCGAGAAGCAGCACCGCCGCCACGCCGCCGGCGCGAGAAGCAGCACCGCCGCCGCCGCCGGCGCGAGAAGCAACGGCGCCGGAGGCGACACCTTCCCCCGTCGCTATGTTGACAGCTTGGTCCAGCAGTGTCTTTTCATGCGAGGACGAATGTAACCATGTGTCGTACATGTAGTACACGTAGATGTACATCCAAGCCATGACACCATCAAGATACGAGCCAGGATCAGGTACGGCAACGTGCCTATGCCAGAGCCTAGGCAGCTAACGAGCAGCAATAGCTAATGGCCCCTGTGCAAGGATGGCACACACAAGTCGAAATAGCTAATGCTCCATTGCTGCTGCATCCTGCACCCTTACTACTAATGTTACTGCAGTACAAGTTACCGTCGCGTCAGTTGGCACTCGAATACCTGCAGCAGCAGCTCTTCACGATCCACGGCGTGCAGGCCAGGTACGGAGTACGGTAAGGTGGCGCCGCAGCCAGCGCCGCCGACAGCGGAAGTGGTGGTGGCAGGACCGCCGCCGCAGCCGCCGCAGCCGCCGCCGCAGCCGCCGCCACCACCGGCAGCGATGGCGGCGGCAGATCGATACATGTCCCCGGAGCCGTTGGCAGCGGCGAGGAGCAGCTGCATCATCGGGGCGGCTGCCGTACGTCGTCGGGGCACAGGGCACGGGAGCAGGTGCGGGGATATTGCTCACGAGGAGAAAGTGGATGTCATCAGGGATTGCATTGGAGAAACCCAAAGCCAAATCTTACTTTAACTTCGACCCAACCATAAACAAAATGTCCCTGACTATGACTCGTTCATCCCCCCCAAGCCACACACCGGTCCTCGTCATGACAGTCGTCGAAGCATGTCGATGTGTCGATCAGCTTTCCCCGTCACATCCGGACAGTCTCAGCCATGATGAGGGGTGAGCGCTAGTCGAGATGTATGTATGTATATATGTTTACCTCGGGATAAGCACATCTTGCGCTTTCCGGTTGTGAAAGCCGCAACCAGGAGAGACCTGCCACGAAACTGAAGGCCAACGGCCACTGCGCCTTCTCCACCGCACGATGGCGCTGATAGCGCTGATGGCGCTGATGATGATCGCCAAAGCTGGCGGCAGCATGGGGTGGTGCCGGCAGCCACTGTATGGGACAATCAGCGCGGCGGCGTCGCAGGCGAGGTGCCGTACCCACGTACGGCTGCCGTCACGCGACCTGAGCTGTGGTCCACAAGGCCATTCCCGCATGGTCTGCGGCGACGGAGGAGGGACCAGCGACCGCATGCACCCGTTGACCAACATGCTGCTTGGCCATGTCCCGGATGCTGCTGTCGCGGAATGCACCTTCTTCCTGGCCGTCAGCTCCCCCCCTGTGGTGCCCTCGTCCTCGTCCTGGGATGTCATCCTCATCGCTGGCGTCCCCAGGTGCGTCGCCGTACGCAGCCCAAGAGAGCAATCTTCTGCCTCACCTCCACGTAAAGCAACATCTCAATATCGCGAACCATGATGACAGTGGGCCGTTGTGCATCAGTCACAGCTGATGGGAAACTTCACTTCACTGTACACCACGTAAACACCACTGGGTGCCTCGCCTCGGCGGCCAGCAGCCACCGTACCGGCACCTCCTTCCTCTGCCGCCTGCATCATCTCCTTAACACTGCCGTACCTGCTGATGTACCGCAATGCAATCCGTTCGAAAAGGAATGTAGAGGGTTAAGGCTTTTGTGGGAGAACAGAGCCTGCACCCTTTTCCCCATGGTTTCTAAACATCCGTACCCGCCCATCACTCAGCCAGCCAGCCACCGCCCACCATTCACAAGCCACCAGCCACCCGCGCACTCAGCAAGCCACTCGGCCATGTGCCTCAATCCGAGCATGCTCGTCCATTTCATCTAGGTTCTTGCCCACCTTTTAGGGCGTTTTAAGGCGGAAGACAGAAAGGAGAAAGAGGTGTATTGCTTCGTAGTTTTGCATTGCGCTTCACCATTCGTGATTGTCAATCAATTTCCTAAAGAATTTCAGTGTAAATCATGTTAAGCAGGATACATATGAATCGATAATGTCAGGGAAATACATGTACGTTTTTCCCCTTCCCGCCCATGCAACACACATACATACGGATCAGTGTACGCACACACCGGCACGCAACAGTGAAACACGCGCATCAACAATGACATTCAATACCAGCAGCACCTGCACGAACACATTCTAAAACCACCATGACCGTCACAACCACCATAACCGCCACCAACCCCAGCAGCGAGCCAACAGAAATCTTAAAGAAGCACGACGCTCACACCCGCCCACCCTTAGCATGTCTGCCACTAACACGTCTGTACGACACTGTACGGTAGCACATCACGACGACATGCAACAACTCCGTCGTAGCGGACGGGCCGGCAATCACCGCCAGCTACAACCCCAGGATGACAATGACGATGCCGACGTGGCCATCAGAAGATCATGACGGTGCACCGTACTTACTTCTACCATAATTACTTGATGGCCTTGTAAGTCCGACAGACGAGCTTGTTTATCTGTATGTGTGTGTATCTATCCCATGTGTGTGTACCTATCACACCCGTTCCCCCTCACGACCCCCCTGGCACCGGAGCTCGCACCAGACTGACGGCCCGAGGCGGTTACCTACCACCTGTCCATCCACGTACCCATCATCATCATTACATGGCCAGGATGGTTAAAGTTATCATTACTACTATCATTGCTGTGCTGTGGCTGTTTTATATGGACTTTGCGGTATCCCGGATGGCCGTATCACCTTGGGAGGAAATGAACTGCTTTCGGTGCACACACTGGCGTTCATGATTGCCCGGCAGCGTGTGCGGGTGGTTGGTATGGTGGAGTGCTGGAGCACGCGGCGGAGTGGCGGAGGGTGAGTGCGGTGGCGCGGGGGATTGGCCGGGAGGGGGAGTGGTGGGCCCTCAGTAGCTGTCGCCCGTGTGTGTTTGTGTGTGTGTGTGGAGGGGGGGGAGAAGCGTGTTGACGCTCCACTCCACCCTGACGTTATGCTAACGGAATCGCTTCTTCTCCTTCTCCTCCTTCTTCTATCCCATTATATTTTGCATGAGAGCTCCTAATCGGAAGGGAAGCGCTGTCCCAGTACTCCACCCGACAGATCTGGCGTGTCCTCTATCTTGGTGTACGATTGGATTGGAGCCTACCTACCAATCCACACACACAGTAATCAACGGATCAAATCCCAGGAGGAACGGACACACACACGACATGCGCACAGCCATTCTCCCTGACAAGAAACCGCTGCTATAAAACTGCTGCAGTCATCACTTCTTGTACAATCATCACAGCTGCAGCTGCTGCTGTTGCTGCTGTTGCTGCTGTTGCTGCTTCTGCTACTGTTGCTGCTGTTGCTGTTGTTGCCGCCTAGCCCTCAGCCTCCTCACTCCCGCATCCAGAGTTTCTTTACGGATGCGTACGGCAGCTGGGGTTACCTCGATCAGCTCGTCAGCCGCCACATAGCTACATGCCGGAGCGGGGAGAGCGAGGGGGGGGAAGTGGCGCGGGTGGTGAGGGGAGAGATGTGGGGGGAAAGGGGTGGGGTGAGGAGGGGCTAGGGCGGGAAGTGGTGGCAGCACAGGTACAGCAAGGGGGGCGTGGTAATGACGGCAGACTAGGGGGTAGCGGATCTGGAGGTGTGGCGGCTCGGCTCGTGTCGGAGAGAGGAGAGATCTCGCCCCCTTTTTGAGGTGGTCATTCCCCCAGGTCACGAGGTGTACAACATAGAACACTTAAAACACACACACTCACACACACACACGCACACACACACGCACACACACACACACACACACACACCGCCTTAAGGTTATCCGCATGCAGCTCAGTCTCCAACCACGTCCCCCCACCCCACCCACTAACCCAATCGCGTCCTCCAGGTTCATGACCCGCGGTGCCGCCAGCTGCACCTTCTCCTCCGCCGTAACTTGCCGTACATTGGAGGTCTTTTTCTCTTTCACAGGGTTTACCTGGCGGGCGCGGGTTAGACACGGAGTTTTGTTGGTGTGGGTGGAGGGGGCGAGAGGGCGGGAAGTACACGACAATGCAGAAGTTGAACAAAAATTGCTGATATCTAAAAAGCTTGGAAATTGTTAGCGGTGGAAAACAAAACAGCAGCTGGATAGCGGCCCCCGGGGGAAGGGTGCTGATTGGGTGGGTGGGTAGGTGGGTGGGTTGAGGGAGGGTGTGGTGTTTTAACTTTGGGAGGGACGTCACAACGTGTGCAAAAGTCAACAAGTCGCACTTCTCACGTCCAGGTCATCATCGCGGCTGTGCTCCCCCACCACCATGCCGCCGTACACCTCAGCCCCGGGCCCTATGAAGAACGTCCCGCGGCTCTGGAGCTCCCCCAGAGCGTACGATGTTGCTCGTCCATCCGCGATTGATACCAACACACCTGAATGGGGAGGAAGGAGGAGATGTGGCCGCATGGGGTCGGGGGAGGGGAATACGGGTTTGTGTAACACCTGGAAAGATGCTCTCGCACGCGTCTTGTAGCCAGGTCAGGTTTTCTCCCTTCCCCCCTCCCCATCTTTTCGCCACCCGCAACCCGTAGTACTAGTATTTCTACCCCTGACCGAATCCATGCACACCTCTCTGGAA